GCTGTGGGAGTCGGTGGGGTTGAAATGGATATTGGTTTCTAGGTGGTTGCCCGAAATGGAGACAGAGAGGTCCAGGAAGGGGAGAGAGGTATTAGAGATGGTCCAGGTGAACTTAAGGTTGGGGTGGAAGGTGTTGGTGAAGTGGATGAACTGTTCGAGCTCCTCGTGAGAGCATGAGGCGGCGCCGATACAGTCATCAATGTAACGGAGGAAGAGGTGGGGTTTAGGGCCAGTGTAGGTACGGAACAGCTTCATCAGTCTGCTTATACACCAGAAGAGAACATCATAAGCAGCTTGAAATATAGCTAACAGCTGCTTTAATCTCATTTGCTCTCAAAATTCTGATTCTGGAGATCATCCTATATTTTTGCCTGCGAAATAAACAACTATGAATGAAAGAATGAAAAGTGATGTTGAAATTTTCCACCCAAGTTACAGAAATGTTGTTATGCTTCTGTCCTGTAATTTGAAATTGCTAATTCATTATTATTCTACTAATTGCAGCTGAGGATCAGACTCTTGTTTCATGCCTATCTGGTGCTTATGGGAATAAACCGCTGCTGCCAATACACATTCCATTTACTTGAGTGGATGGCAATCTATAATGAGGAACATGAGATGTTGAGTGAACAAACCAAATGACTAAAAATGCAATCACAGCACAAATAAGTTATTTCCAAATGGAAAACAAATAAATTCTTCGTAACAGAAGATTCATAGTCTTGATGTAAAAACTTAAAATAGCCAATTCTTAATCATTGATAGGTAGGAAAATAATGCATTTAAATCTTACATAGCAGCCTCTGTATATTATGACACATTAGTAATAGTACTTCTGTCCATGATATCATTGTTATTAAAAAAATTACTGAAAATGTAATGATTACTAACCTGATTTAACTCACGAAACCATTGTATGAAAGCCAGACCAGTTTGTGCAATATATAGTTACATGCCCAATCACATACATATTTGCCATGTAGACACGTATACATATAATAAATATTATATAAATACACACACACACACACAATTTATTCAACTGTCTCTCCACCACCCCCTTCTATTTTAAAACTCTTTAAAATGCACCTTACTGACAATGGTTTTGAATAAAGGGAGGATACCATTTCGCTCTTTAATAATCACATTGAATTTTTACGATCACCAAACTGCCCTTTAATGGAAAAGAACAACAATTTTGTCAATCCCTGTAGGCTAACTGTGTTACAATATGTAATCTTGTATTTCTTTTAGATGTTTTGACAAAGGGAATTGGGTAAGTGAGATGGCTGAGTGATAGACTTCGTAGCTCTCCCAGGAATTATCTTCCAGCCAACAACTACATTCAGATAAGGGGTAGCAGGAACTGCAGATGATGGAGAATCTGAGATAACAAGGTGTAGAGCTGGATGAACACAGCAGGCCAAGCAGCATCAGAGGTGCAGGAAGGCTGACGTTTCGGGCCTAGACCCTTCATCAGAAATGGGGGAGGGGAAGGGGGTTCTGAAATAAATAGGGAGAGAGGGGGAGGCGGATAGAAGATGGATAGAGGAGAAGATAGGTGGAGAGGGAACAGACAGGTCAAAGAGGCGGGGATGGAGCCAGTAAAGGTGAGTGTAGGTGGGGAGGTAGGGAGGAGATAGGTCAGTCCAGGGAGGACGGACAGGTCAAGGGGGCGGGATGAGGTTAGTAGGTAGGAGATGGGGT